AACCACATTGAAAGGAAATGCAATATACAAGAACCACAACTATCTTTAATTGCCCACAACCATAACTCTATATTTCAATTCTTTTACAAGGTATTCTGTTACTAGTAACATCCTCATTTCCGAAGCAGTCTTGTGGGGGTATTAATCACATTTAGTGATAGTTCTAGTTTTTTACTGTTACTTCTTTATTTCTTAGGGATCAACTTCATACTTCAAATAATGTACCTTATCATCATCCACAGCTTATGTGACAAGGTTCATAACTCTAGCACCAATATTGCAAGAATTATATCCCCATAAACTTAGATTTTTTAGTAGAAAAATGTTATTTTTTACTATGACTTTTTAGCTCACCTGTCACAAAGTGACAGGGTGAGCTTTTGTGATCGCTTTTCATCTGGCGTCCGTCCGTAAACTTTTACTTTAAATGACATCTCCTCATAAACCACTAAGCCAATTTCATCCAAACTTCACAGGAATGTTCCTTTGGTGGTCACTTTTAAAAATTGTTGAAAGAATTTAATTCCATGCAGAACTCTTGTTGCCATGGCAACCGAAAGAAAAAACTTTTAATATCTTCTTTTAAAAAACCCTAAGAGCTAGAGCTTAGATATTTGGCATGAAACATCTTCTAGTAAGTGTCTACCAAGTTTGTTCAAATAAAAGCCCTGGGGTCAAAATTGGCCCCGCCCCAGGGGGTCATTGATTTTCCCTATATGCATATAGTAAAAACTTAAAAAATCTTCTTTTAAAGAACCCAAAGAGCTAGAGCTAAGATATTTAGCATGAAACATCTTCTAATGAGTGTCTACCAAGTTTGTTCAAATAAAAGCCCCGGGGTCAAAATTGGCCCTGCCCCGGGGGGTCATTAAATTTCCCTATATGCATATAGTAAAAACTTAAAAATCTTCTTTTAAAGAACTCAAAGAGCTAGAGCTAAGATATTTAGCATGAAACATCTTCTAATGAGTGTCTACCAAGTTTGTTCAAATAAAAGACCTGGGGTCAAAATTGGCCCTGCCCCGGGGGGTCATTGAATTTCCCTATATGCATATAGTAAAAACTTAAAAATCTTCTTTTAAAGAACTCAAAGAGCTAGAGCTAAGATATTTAGCATGAAACATGTTCTAATGGGTGTCTACCAAGTTTGTTCAAATAAAGCCCTGGGGTCAAAATTGGCCCAGCCCCGGGGGGTCATTGATTTTCCTTATATGTGTATAGCAAAAACTTAAAAAATCTCTTTGAAAAAACTCATATAGCTAGAAACATCTTCTAGTAAGTGTCTACAAAGTTTGTTCAAATAAAAGCCCTGGGGTTAAAACTGGCCCTGCCCCAGGGGTGTCATTGTTTTTAACTATATGTGTATAGTAAAAACTTAAAAAATCTTCTTTAAAAAAACCCAATGAGCTAGAGCTTACATGTTTAGCATAAAACATCTTCTTATGGGTGTCTACCAAGTTTGTTCAAATAAAAGCCCTTGTGTTAAAATTGGCCCTGCAGGGGGTGGGGAGGAGGGGGCTATATACAGTTGAGTGACCTCAGGGCCATCATGGCCCTCTTGTTTAGTTTTAAAGGTATCTACCTCAAACTTCAAATACTTATTCCTTATTAAGGAATTACATTTGACAATGTTCATAACTCCTGAAGCAATATTTACAGATTTATCTCTCTTTGAACTTAGGATTTTCTTTACGAAATATTATAACTTCTTTACTTTTTAAGGTATCTACTTCAAACTTCAAATATATATTTCTTATCATTACACACATATTGTGTGACAAGGTTCATAACTCTAGCGAGTCTATTTCTAGAATAATTCCCCTTGATCTTGGAATTTATGTTAACAATGTTATTTTTTTACTATAACTTAAAACATAATTATACATAATTGATTTTTCTTTCATAGGTTTGTCTTCCTTAATGCGTCCAGTATTTTATTAGTCGAGCTTCGCTGTCTCCTGTGACAGCTCTTGTTAAAATTTATAGTTTATTTTCATTGTAAACAGTCTAATTCTTGTAAAATTTGAGATACATAGCAAGTGGAACATTGTTCTGTTATTTCATAGTGAACTCATTCACACCATCAGTATGGTGTAGATCCAAATCCCACATATCTTGCCATCCATCTGATGGTGGTATAATTGTTCTCCTTTCTAACAAGGAGTCAATCCTCCTCTATACAGCAATGAGAATCCCCTAGGGTAGATCTATATAGGAAGGATGATCCAAAATAACATAGATTTACTTTTGCTGTTGCTTAAACAAAGGTGGCTAAAATCCGGTAAATCATATACATTGTATGGTCAATAAGTCAGAACAATAGAAATGTATCATTTGGATATCATGATATTATTTATAATATTATATAATATTTCTTTGCAAAAAAAAATAATGCTATTCAAGGTGTAAGTGATTTAATATGAACATTTATATGATGAAAAGTATTTTGTTCTATAACACTTTTATTATTTGCTGTATAAATATGCTTACATAAATAACTGTTTGTCTGTCTTTAAGTTCAATGGCCCTCTTTTGTTATATGCCCGAAAGGGCATATTTTGTTATACCCCCTGGCGTCCGTCTGTCTGTCTGTCTGTCCGTCCGCACTCACAGGAGAGTAATTATGTGGCTAGAGGGACAATAGGTTCTCTTTGATGTCATTCATTCCGTAATGCTTTTATTAGGCTATTTTTCTTTTGCGTGGCTAAAAGAACAATAGAGAGAACAATAGAGTAGCCACATAATTACTGTCCTGTGAGAACGTCCGTCCGTCCGTTAGCAATTTGGTTTCCGGAGCATAACTTAAGTTCCATTTGGCCCACAATGTTCAAACTTCATAGGATGATTGTCCATATTGGGTAGAAGACCCCTTTTGATTTTGGGGTCAAAAGGTCAAAGGTCAAGGTCACTATGACCTTCAAACTGAAAACAGTTTCCGGAGCATAACTTAAGTTCCATTCGACCCACAATGTTCAAACTTCATAGGATGATTGTCCATATTGGGTAGAAGACCCCTATTGATTTTGGGGTCTCAAGGTCAAAGGTCAAGGTCACTATTACCTTGATACTGAAAACAGTTTCCGGAGCATAACTTAAGTTCCAATTGACCCACAATGTTCAAACTTCATAGGATGATTGTCCAAAATGGGTAGAAGACCCCTATTGATTTTGGGGCCACAAGGTCAAAGGTCAAGGTCACTATTACCTTGATACTGGAAACAGTTTCCCGGAGCATAACTTAAGTTCCATTTGGCTCACAGTGTTCAAACTTCATAGGATGATTGTCCATATTGGGTAGAAGACCCCTATTGATTTTTTTGGTCAAAAGGTCAAGGGTCAAGGTCACTATATCCTTAAAACTGAAAACAGTTTCTGGAGCATAACTTAAGTTCCATTTGGCCCACAATATTAAAACTTCATAGGATGATTGTCCATATTGGGCAAAAGACCCCTATTGATTTTGGGGTCACTAGGTCAAAGGTCAAGGTCACATTTACCTTAAAACCAAAAACAATTTCCGGAGCATAATGTAAGTTCCATTTGGCCCACAATATTCAAACTTCATAGGATGATTGTCCATATTTGGTAGAAGACCCCTATTGATTTTGGGGTCACAAGGTCAAAGGTCAAAGTCACTTTTACCTGAATGCTGAAAACAGTTTCTAGAGCATAATTAAAGTTCCAATTGGCCCACAATATTCAAACTTCTTAGGATGATTGTCCATATAAGGTAGAAGACCCCTATGATTTTGGGGTCACAAGGTCAAAGGTTAAGGTCATTATTAATAACTTAAGTATTGATCAACCTACAGCTGTAAAATTTTATAGGATGAACTGCGAATTCCCATGTCTTACAAATGTTTCATCCTTACTAAAAAAAAACACTTTCGGGCATATAATGCTCCGCCTAGCGGTGCTCTTGTTAGCTCACCTGACCACGAAGTATAGTGATGGGGCTATGTCCGGCGTCCGTCTTCGTGAGTTATGGGTTGTTAACAGTCTAGCAGTCACAATTTTGATTGGATCATCATTAAAATTTGTGAGAATGTTTGTCTCAATGAAATACAGATCGAGTTTAAAAATGTGTCATCTCGGGTCAAAAACAAGGTCACAGGAGCTAAAAATAGAAAAATCTTGTAAACACTCTAGTAGCAGCAGTTTTGATCCAAATATTCTGGAAATTTGTCAGGAAGATTGTTTAGATGATTTCTAGGTCGAGTTTGAAGATGGGTCATCTAGGGTCAAAAACTAGGTCACAGGGGCCAAAAATAGATAAAGCTTGTTAACACTCTAGTGGCTGCAGTTTTTATCCAAATTTCCTGGAAATTGGTCAGGAGGGTTGTTTGATGATTTCTATGTCAGATTTGAATATGGGTCGTCTTCGGTCAAAAACTAGGTCACAGGAGCTAAAAATAGAAAAATTTTGTTAACATTCCAGTGGCTGCAGTTTTGATCCAAATATCCTGAATATTAGTCAGAAATGTTGTTTTGATGATTTCTAGGTCAAGTTTGAATATGGGTCATCTCCGGTCAAAACTAGGAGCTAAAAACAGAAAAATCTTGTTAACACTCTAGTGGCTGCAGTTTTGATCCAAATATTCTGGAAATTTGTCAGGAAGGTTGTTTTGATGATTTCAAAGTAAAGTTTGAATATGGGTCACCTGGGGTCAAAAGCTAGGTCACACTGCCCAAAGATGGAAAAATCTTGTTATCACACTAGAGTTCACATTTTTGACTCCATAATCATCAAACTTGGTCAGGATGCAGACATTGCTCGTATGTGGTTGATGGGCCAGGGAAGCGATCTAGGGCCATCATGGCCCTCTTGTTTATTATCTCTTCTGTACAAAGTTTATCAAAACAAGTCTGCAATTTTCATGTACTTTGTTGTGATTAGTACTTTCAACGGATCACCTTTTCCAGATTTTGATTATATCAAATTGTATACTCATCAGCTTGATTCAATTCTCTTATCTTTTTTATCTTATTTGTTTTTTCAGCAATTAGAAGAGGAAATCAAAAGATTAAAGGAGAGAAACTTTCAGTTAGAGGCGGATGTAAGTGCACGATTAGGTAGTGCCGATGAGTTGACCCAGTTAAAGCAGGAAGTTTGTACCCTCGGTGAAGAGAACATGAAGCTTGAAGCACGAGTTCGAGAACTGCAGGCAGAGATATTTACATTACATGCAAAATCACCCGAGGTACGTTTATTATACCCCCACCACAAAATGTGGGGGGGGCTATAATGGATTCGCTTTGTCGCGTCGGTCCGTCCTTTGGG